TATATATATATATATATATATATATATATATATATATATATATATATATATATATATATATATATATATATATATGTTCAGAATATAACTATAATAATTTGAAATTTTTTAATTGAAAATACAGATCTTTAAGTTGCGATAAGAAGATTATGAACACTGCAGGGGTTTTCGGCTTTGTGTGAGAGACTTGATGATATCTCACAAGGGCATGCGTTCCGATGACAATTGAAATATCGCTTGAATCGCGAATTACGTCTATAATGATCTGCTTAAAGACGAAGAAGGCAATTCGAGCGGTACTTATTAATTCCAACGTGAGCGCAATTTTTACCCTGAGAAGAAACCACCAGCTTGCGAATATGGTCAGTTAGGTGATGCTATTGTTATCCCGCTTGACCACAGCCACTTAGCCCGAGTACTAAACTCCACGAGTTCAACTTTACCCTTCAACAGGTGTTTAGGGAAATACAATAATGTCACGCATGCGCGCCGAACTTCTTGAGGTCGCAAAGTTCGCCAGAACAATCTGACCGCGACCATGCCCGCGGGCGATGCCGGTACTTAGGACGAGATTAATTAAGATTACGCAGGATGCCGCGGTTCTCAACCCGGCCGGATGACCTTAACGGGAACAAGTAAATTTCGCGCGGTTGATGAGGAATTTCGTTAATGCTTTCGAGATGGAAAACGAACAAGGCTTGATTAGAAAGATGCGTTGCGAGATAATTTCCAAGATCTAGTAGCAGTCTTATCTGAGGAAAATTCTAGTTTGAAGCACATTTTATTTTTAGAGAAATATATTACGCATATTAAATGTGCATTTTATAATATCGTGACATACCTATTTATCTTATAAATAAGAATAGTTTCTTGAAAAAAATTTTCATTTGCCAATCGCAATCGAGTGAAATATAAAAATCAATATCTCACGACCAATGTTTTTTCCACACTGATAATATAAAAGGATACAAGAAGTTCATATTAGTTTAATACAAATGTTTAGTTTAAAATAGCAATACTAAAATTGTGAAATAATTGCAATTATAATTGGTATACTGTTTTATATAAGCGTGTAATGTCTACCTTACCGATAGCAGATGCTGCTATCCTTGGAACTCGGGTATGCTAGTAGTCGATAAAGTGGTTTGCCGGGATCGTTGGTAACGGTTGGTAGGATAGTGGCGAACGTTTCCCTACCAGGAGGGTTGAAGGGAAGCTGCGAGTTACCCTTCACGTAATAGGTGGCGTTTGAACATAATATAATTCGCGAAAAGCTTTGACTGAAAACAATACACATATTCACGAAACTATGTTGAATGCATTTTTTAAATTACATTCACTTTCGCTAAGATTATGAAATAACGAAAACCGTGAAAAGAAAAATCATCCTGTTTTATTACTAGTAGTAGGACAATATTTTATGTATGCTAAATTCATTATTTAGATTTATTGAAAATGGTCAAATATGTTTCTTATAATCTTTTCTATTTTGTTTTGCTTACAGTCGTTAAATGGTGCCGAGGGTACAGTTCCGCAGGGAAAAGTGTACAAGAAAGTTGCGATTGTGGAAAACTTTTTTGACATCATTCACGCCGTTCACGTTGATCTCGAAGGACGTCCTGGAAAACACGCTGGCCAGAAACGCACCTATAGAACAGTAAGTAACGCCAGATAATTTTTACTTATTTAAAAAGATTGTTTTTAGTTCTGGAAACATCGCACTGTAAACATACGGTGGCATATAATTGATTAATTTAAAAATTCAGAGAAACTTGGAGAAATTAAAAAAAAAATGTTAAATGCACGTAAGTTGGAGAAACACGATTTTGAAGGAAAAAAAATTGAAGATTTACGTAAACCGATAAATTTTTCTGCGCGCATAAATAACGTCTCAGCCAGTTTGGTCTAATATGTATAAGACACGGCGTGAACCGAAGTATTCGCCGATCCGCGAACCATCGAATTCCGAATTTTGGGTGCTATCGGCAGAACGCGGTGAATTCTTGCATGGTTGCCCGCGACACGCGATATTTACCGCTCCCGAGGGAAGGCATTGAGGCGTTCAAGCGTCGAACACTCGATACCACACGTCATCTCACATGTTCCGGCGTGCATTCGCGTAAACCTCTCTCCGGGGTATCATATCTGTTCTCTCGCCGTCTCACTCTATCTCACTCTCTTTCTCTAGCTCGCACCCTTAGCACGCGGTTCTGTTTCTATCCTTCATCGTCGGCCCCTGCGACCACCCTCCCACTCTTCGGCCTCCCATCCTCTCTCTTCTCTCTCTCTCCTGCTACTCTCTCTTTCTCTCTCTCTCTTTCTCTCTCGCACGCCGCGATCTGCTTGTGATTCAAAACCTCAGGACACTTGTTGCATTGCCTGCTTACTCACACACTCGAGCGTTCGCGCGACGGTGGAACTGTTTTACGTTCAAGTCGGCGTTAGGCGGCGAGATTCATCGGCTCCAGAGGAACCCGCGTTATGTCACGGCGCGCGCAACTCGATACCACGGTTAGCTACTACTGCTGTGCCAAGGGTAGTAGATTTCAAGTTACTCTGTTATTGTGTCGTAGGGGTTGCGAGTTGACCAATCTGTACACACAGTATCGTGGTTCACCTTTGACAGCTCGTGCCTTTAACGCGCTCCGATCGACGTATTAATGTGCATTACGGCACGTGCATTTCGCCGCTCCAAGTCAATTTCCTCGTAACCGCGAGATTAATGCTGCGAAGTTTATTGTTAGTAAAAATCTCACGGTGCTGAAAGCCGCACAGATGTAACTGTATCGAATCGATTTTGTCGTTTTCACATTTATTGCAAAATTTGTCAAGTTTTAATTGCGAAATAAACAAAATGATAAAAGATAACGGACGGACAATATCACAATTTCGGCATGCAATACCGTATATATAATTGTTCGTAATAAATTTGTATCAATAAACTGTTTAATTTAGAACGCGAGTCACGCAAGCAAAAGATCGAATTTGCGCTTAATTAGATAACTGTAATTAGATAATTTTGTATTAAATAATGGTTATCACTTACTTTATAATTATTCTCTAGTAATGAAAAATAATCCGATCGTGTAACGCTTATTTGGTTTCTAATACAATTTATTTTTCAAATCCAAGTCGAAACATCGGTGAACTGCGATAAATTGTCGCGTCGATTCAAAGCGCATTATCTCGGTTTCTTACGTGATGCATTTTTTTACGTTCCGCGAGCTTGCCACGAAGTCTCGAGTAAATCTTATCGAATTACTAACCCCCGCGAAGACCGTGCAGTTATACGCTCACGTACACATCAACCTCCGTCGGCTTTCTCGGCTCTCGCGGAGGCTGCCATCCGCCTTGATTAAGTTATGCCGCCCCCTCCACCTCCTTAGAGAGAAACGTTTCCTATTAAGAGGCGGGAAACATCCCTCCGGCTGAACACCTCCTCTCTCGCAGAAGACATCAAAGTTCCGTTATACCGCTCATGAATTTTCCCCGGTGGGCGTCGCGCACCGTAAAACGGCGCCACGTGACAGCGATACGTTCGCGGTGACGAGGGCGGGAAAGGCCATTCGCGCGCGTATTAACGCGCCGATTGACAATAGCGGTTGCCGTATTATTGCGCGAACGTGTACTTGGGTGCGGCGTCTCGGCCAGGCGGAATTGGTTAATTGCCTGGCCGGCGGTGCTTGAATGTAACAATGTCGCAAAGCAATGTGCGAGACGCGGTGAACGGAGATTTGATCTATGCACGCTATCTCGATGGATCTCGCAGATATATCTCGTATTGTGTTTTCAGTATCAATTAGCGGTTTATCAAAGCCGAACAATACGCACACAACGCTTTTTTCGACGATCACCTAAAATCGTGCGACAATTTTATGCATGAAATTGTTTTCAGAGTGAAAGCTTCGTCGTAATTGAAACTTCTATTTCTGGAAATTATATTAGTAATAGAAACTGACGTATTTTTTTTCACTTTTCTTTGAAAATAATTTTTATATTAAAGTTAAAATAATAGTATCATATTTCAAAATCATATTTCAAAATAAGAAATGGAAAAATGTTAGGCGGAACGAAAGTTATAAAGCTTTTTCGAAATATGCTGAAGGCTGCAGTGAGAACTGCTCTGAAGAATGCGTTCCCCTTTCTTTTGTTGCAGATTACAGAGACATACGCGTTCCTACCCCGAGAAGCCGTGACGCGATTTCTGCTAGGCTGCACAGAATGCCAGCGGCGTCCGCGGACGCCCAGTCCGACGAATTTATCAAATCAGTCGCAATCCACAGTGCCGTCGACGGCACTGGCATCAACCCCGCTGAACTCCAACACTGGCGGTGGCAACGCCGCTCTCGCGACTTTGTCGTCGTCCGCATCGTCGGCACAAAGCAGCCCTAAGCCGCGCGATAGCAACCACCATGCATCGGAGGGCAAGAACCTTCACAACTATAGGCACCAAAAGCAACACAAGAACAGCAGTGTCGCCGCGACGGACAAGCTTGACAAGGACAAGGACGAGAAGTACAACCCGCTGAGCATCACGAATTTGTTGAAGAAGGAACCGGTGAACGGCGGTTTTCTCGCGAATTCCGACAACCTGCCGGAATCTAGAAGGACACCAGAGTCGGACCGGGCGAGCTCGCGGAGCTCGGCGTCGTCGAAGAGGAAGCGGATGCTGCCGGAGGGACGGACGCCCTCGCCGCAGCCCAGCCAGCCGTTGCCAAGGCCCTGGAGCCCCGGGCTGGATCCCAAGAACACGCCCATCGACTACAGCCGCCCCATCACCACCTCGTACTTGAAGCACCAGCAGAGGCTACTCCAGGCAGAGAAAAGCAAGGCCGCCGCCAATGCGCTGAGGGAGTCCGAGGCGATGGAGCTCAACTCCCTCGCAACCGTCCCGACGCCGCTTGTCGAGGAGACCGAGAGCGTCGAGAGGGAAAGATTCTCACCGGCCACCGGTCTCATCGGTACGAATCTCAAGATACTCGGGACTATTCCGCATCTGCACTTCCAGGTGATGCTGGCGCTCACCGAACGACTCAGACCGTCGATCGCTGTGCCGGGTCCCTTAGTCCTGCCACCAGCGCCGACGAACGTCCTCGCGGGATCGATGATGATGGGCACGGAAGTTTCCGTCCAGACCGGCGAGAATCATTTGTGAGCTAATCGACGCGAGGAAGAGAACAACTTTGTTTACTGACTTTCTTCGGAGTGCGTGAAAGGTATTGTGTTATGATCAAGATAAAAAATAGATATCCGCGAGTAGAATTATTTCGCGTCGATAATGCCGAACTGCTTGAACGACTCGCGTACGTGAATCGCAATTCATTCTAGACGAACGTTCTCGATGTAATAAGCGTTTATTACAGTCAAATAATGGATATTTGGTTTTTTCTATTAAAAAAAAAAAAAAAAAATTTTTAATTTTGACCGTCCTATTTGCGTTTCTAACATAATCACGCGGCTACGAGGTTCCTTATACGACATGTCGATTACAATCGTCCTTTTCATTCTTAATTCGTTCTTAAATACGTATCCGACTGACGCGCATTTGCGTACAGCAGCGGCGACTTGCCTTTGTCCCGTCTTCCGTCAGCGAAACGATAGATAGACGCAATTACATATTGAACCGGATGGGATCGATTATTGTCGTCGTGCTCGTGTCACACATTTCATCCGACCAGGCCAGCCGGTTGCTGCTTGCTTGCGTCCGACCTCGGTCGGTGCCCGATATAGACGACGGGCCAAGCGAGCGGAATAATTCCCGAGTCTGTCGAAATACTGGTCGATGTGTCAGGGATTCGCGCGACGCTTCCTATGTCCGATATTTAGGGATCCGTTACGCGGAGAACAGATCGCGATCCGGCTGCCGTTGCCGGACTCGGCCCCGATCGATCCATCCGAGCGGGGCAAAAGCGACAATCCGCGCGGCGACACCGCGAAAGTCCTGAATATTCAACGAGCCGACGAGATGGCGAGAGTGAGTGAGAAAGAGAGAAAAAGAGACCCGTATTCTCGTTTACGAGTATCATCCAATGAATTCGACAACATTCGGCATTGTTGCCGACCTGACGAATTGTCTTTCATGTTTCAAGGCGCTCGACAATTCGTTCCGACTATAATTACAGCGTGTTCGAGGATGAGCAGATTACGTGTTCAGATAAACGAAAAAATTTTTTTTAATTGGCAGCTACTTTTTTTTCAGCGAAAATATCCTGCAGTGCTAATAATTTTGGAATCATAAAAATTTACGAGCTATAAAAATGGATTTCGCGAACTTTCAAAACGGTAAGTGAATAATGAAACATCATTCAGTATCGTTCGATCTTTATCCGGCGTTGATATTAGACAGAGATTAGTTGAATTTTCCACGGAAAGCATCTTTGTCAAGAAGCAAAGAAAAAAATGCATTCTATCCTTTTTTTTGTTCGCGCAAGCGATGTAATACCTTCGTAATCTCAGACGTCTGAATTAACGTCGATTAATGCGCGATGGAGCAACATCTCAGTGACTGGAAAAGGGCTGGCTGAATCTAGCTGGCGTCTCGTCCTACCTTGTAATCGTAATAATGTTATCGCGTGTAATTACACACAACGGGGGTATCCGAGTCGAGTACGAGCGCGCGACTCGTCTCGTCTCGTCTCATTGCGTTACGCGGAACCGGTCGATCCGGTATATTATACGCGTCAGCTTCCCTCGTTATATTGTATTAATTATCGTATTATTGGCGCGATCGACGCTGCGACTTTTTGGCGATACCGCGGCGCGACCGCATAATTGAACACGTTATTTCAGACGGGGAACCTTATTGCTTATATTACTCGTTTCGAAAAGCCAATCATTCACGATCCTCACTATTATATCAGTATAATCTCTTATCTTAAAAGAATATGTTTTTTAAATTTTATTTCATAATAAATGTCTCAGCTAAATAATATTTTGAACTTTTACTTTTGAAATGTGCGCAACGATAATTTTGAATATAATTGAGGTTTATCTGGAAACCGTAAGTAAACGTGAGCTAATTTTCTTTTCTTATTTTATGGAAGTTGGCTAGAAATAATTGACAAATTTGATGAAATAACTTGTTCACTCAGCGACGATCGCCGGACTCGATACCGACTGTATACCAAAGGCAGTACCAGTTCGAGCTTTCGCTATGAGAGCGATTCGTGTCTTCGTAGAGCTACAAGTAAGACGAATCGACCGTAATTATAAATCGATTGTTTTTCCTTGCATCGAGACCTCGGCGACAAAACTCGTTGCGGCAAAACTCGTTTCGTATTTGATTTGTGTACGTAGCCTAGCCTTGTGTATGATATTACTCGAAGTAGCTCGTTTCTCGTGTACAATATAACGTTAATCGGTGGAGAAAGAAGTACACACCGGTGACGCAATAGGTTTTAAGATGTGCTTGCACAAAAAAGATGTTTTTACTAGAAGTTCGATATCGTCGTGAAAGTAGACGAGGATTGATAATCCTAGAGTGTCGTCGCACCGGATATATTAATATGCATATATATTGCATATTGTATGTATATATTATTTTGTACATAATTGTCGTATCATAGAATGCATACTGCAGTCTGTACTGAACAAAACGCGCGATTATTATTATTATTATTGACAGCGATCGTTCTTTTATCACGGCATTAGACATCATACGATTATTATTATGATCGTGACGACGATAGAGATGATTATCATTTTTACCGCTTCTTATTCGCCTTCTTAGTTTTTAATATTATTAATTATTATTACGTGATTATTATATTAATATTATTATATTTAAATTGCGCACGAGATGGGAAAATATATAAAAATTGAAATACACGAGAATTGCGTATATAATTCGCACCATATCCAGAAGATGCACTCTTTTCTTCTTTTCTTCGATGTATTTCAATTTTCCAACTCCTCGTTTCTGTATTTTACGATTAGTGTTATCACTCAAGCTGATTGGATGCACTGCAGGAAAAGAATGATAAGAATTGACAACATTAGCTCTCATCCCTCGATAATTCCATCCTTTTTATTTCCATCTTTTATCACCGCGCGATAAGACATTGCGCACACTTGAGATTCCCTTCTTCCTCTTCTCTCTGTTTGGAATATGACGAATATATTATATACGGAAAATTATGTATATATAAGGAGAGAAACTGCAGGGTCCAGGTAAACGAAACTGTAACTCAAATATGTTCCCGTCAGGACCATATTACCACGTTACAGATACATGCAAATATTAAGTTTACGCAATTAGCGTTTGAAGTGCTCGAAAAAGTTCGGCCGATCGATGGTATCAGGGGGTGGAACGGTCGATCCTGCACTCCTCCGTGCACCAGCAACGAACGCAATTGACACCTCATCCTGCTTCCCTTTTAACTCCCTCCCCCTCCCCCCTCCCCTCCCCCCCCGTA